CTAATTATATCATTAATTAAAAAAATAATCAAATTTTCCATTGTCTGTCTTGGAGCCGCTCCTCTCTCCAGGTGACACCACCTGCCCCCTGGTGGTCCATCTGTTCACATATAAAAGGTTGTTGGTTTTTTTGTTTTTTTCTGCACCAATCTGACCATCACTGAGTGGTAACAAGGCGCTGAAGATAATAACCAGAGAGAGGCGGACGGTCAATAATGGCTGTGGCATGTTCAGGGGGTCGATGGATTTTTTTTTTTTGCTGGCTCGTGGGCGGAGGTCTAACAGATAACGGTGAACTGCAGCCCCCCTCAGTGACTGGTGGTCATGATGCAATTCATTCCATTAAATGTATAGATATTGATGAATTTCCACTGCTGCTGTGACACCTGGATTCACTCTAAAATCCTCGGTCTGTCAGGAGGAAATCCATTTTGCAGGAGAGAAGGTGTGAAGACAGACTTATTTTTAGAGCCGTTACAGTAAATCTCACTGCATATTTGACTGGTGACATACACAGCTCTGTCATGACGGCACTTTGGTCAGGATCCAAGTTAACTTTTAGGGCTGTCAATCAATAAACACTGCTGAAATAAGATTAATCTGATGGGAGCTGTGTGTTAGTGATTAATCACAACAGTGAGTTATCATGATTATTAAAAGGTAAATTGTCATTCCTGACAAATATTTGTTTAGATCAGATCAGATTAGATGAGATCGGATTAGTTCAGATAAGATTAGATTAAACGTTTTTTCATAGAGTCGGTTGATTGTAGTCGTAGGTGTCATTCCTGACAAATATTTGTTTAGATTAGATCAGATTAGATGAGATTGGATTAGATTTGTTCAGATTAGATTAGATTAGATTAGACGTTTTCATAGGCGGTTGATTGTAGTCATAGGTTTTTTGTAGTAATGGAGTAGTTGGCAAAGTACTGCACTGTACTATGTTGGTAAACTCCAGTGTGGTGTAAAAGGTGGAGGGTAGTAGTAACATTTACTATGCAGTCTGAAACCACATAATTCTGTTCTTTTAAATGCATTTTTCTCCTTTCAAAGATTTAGACTTCTGTCCCATTAAATGAAGTATTGGTCTCAATAAAAAATGGTACAAAATTTAATATCCTGGCATAAATATTATATTTTAAGATTTTATAGCCTTTCATTCACTACAGGAAATTAGAATTATGTCTAAAATTAAAGATTGACTGAAGACTTCCAGTGCAGGACAGTGTGATAAATATTTCCATCCTTTCACTACATTTACATCTGTTTCTGTGTGAATTTACACTGTTTTTTTTTTATGCTGACATTTTTATCTTATCTGATTGGAACCTTGCTGTTAATCTGCCTGTTATCACACATCTGTCTCCTCTTCTCCTCATTCTCATTATCTGAATTCTCGCCAACCTTTTCAGGGCAAATATAAAATTAGCTTAGCAACGGGTTTTAATGTCATGGCAACAGCGTTTGCAGAGATAACTGTAATGGGCTGGCCTGTTTGTCCACATCAGGATTCAGCGTGATCCAGCTGCAGAAGAACGTGTTCCCTTCAAACAGATGAAATGAGAGCGCTTCCTAATTGTACTCTAATGGACTGGAAGAACTGAGTGGCGAGCTTTTCAATTTCAGAGTGCATCATGGGGATGTTTAATCAGATGTGTTCAATTAAAAAGTGGTACGCAGTTTTCCTCAGGGAAATGAGGAATTTGATTTGGCCAATGTGTTGTGTACACATGAGTTATGGGCCTGGTATCCAAAATATGGGCCACATGTGTTTTTTACAATAGATCACATGAAGTAGTCACATTCTTCTGGCTCCTTGGTGAACCAAGAATGGTCCTAATTATTATTGACCGTCCATGATCATTTGGTCCACATTTTTCTGACCACTAGTTGGTTTATACATCCTTCTGTTGGTCATATCAGTTCCCCGTCTAACCCGTGTCTTAAATTCAGACCACATTATTCAGGTCAGATGTTCTTCATAATTGGGAATCATGATATTGGTTCACATTACTGGCCCAGATGTAACAATGTTTGTTAGCAGAATGTGGGCCACGTTGCCATGTTATTCTTTGCACTATGTTGGACTAGTCTGGGCAACATTTACATCCACGGGTTTGGCCTCATTTTTCTGGCCTAACATATTGATCTGGTCTACATTTGATATCCGCAATGTGGGCCACACTCTTATGGTTTACCATTCAAATTAAGCCATTGCTTCATGGCCCATACAGCAGGGTTTTATTGCCGGGCCAGTCGTGCCCTTTCCTTTGTCATAAAATCAGAGTGTCATCAACATATATTCTCATATTTTATAGACTGACGAACAGGAGCCTGTGTTTTCCTTGGGTGAGTCTATAATCCCACTAATAAATCAGCATGTGCTGCGACCATCCTTAGTCACTGCTGTGTCTCCGGGCGCTGCCGTCATCATGGTGAACTGAACGCATTCTGCTTCCATAGATGGATGTGGCAGATAGTCATAATCAGGTTCCAAATGAAGCCGTAAAACTGGTGTATTATTCTCTCTGCGTTACACAAATAACTGACGGTCGTAGAGCTCGGTTTGCAGCCGCTCTGTGGAGGACTTTCAAGGACGCGTTGGTCTGGTCGGGTGCTGCAGTGGACATGAATACCATTTGTTTCTGTATGGCATTGATTTGACTGTGTACCTTTGAGATAAGGCTGTATGTCCCAGTGGACTGAGCTGTGAGTCAGAACACAGGAACTGACTGATTTGGTCTCCTTCTAGTAGGCTTTTGACATGCACTGTGTACACTTACAGTACACAGTACTACTCAATACTGCACAATACTGCTGCTGATACTACTTTGCCTTAATCTCCCAAAGGGAACTGCAAAGGGATTAATAAAGA